TGCCAACCTTGGAATCCTGCAGGTGCTGGCCCAGGGCACCAACCATCAGCCCAGACCATGCAGTGGTGGCACCCCCCCCCCCAAATCTATCATCCCTGGTGCCTCACCCTCCACCCAGATCTCAATTTGCCAGGACGTGCTGTGAAAAGTGATTTCTATCTTTTTAAAATATCACTTTTCACAGCACAGTTAGCACCCCAATGTCACCTGCCTTCAGAGCTCGGCACCCACCAGCAGGTGCCCAGCTTGAGCCCTGACACCTTTCATTAAAAATTAAGCACTGCCCCCCATTATTTCTATTTCCTGCTACCTCCCAGGCTCCCCACCCACTGCCCATCACCCATGGGCCCTACTGCCTCCCCCTGCATTGTCCCAAGCTCCCTTCCGTGGCCTCATACCCCAAGCCTGCCCCATTTCTTGCCTCTTGTCCATGGCGTTCCCCCCACCATGGCACTGTGGGCAGTTGTCCACAATCCCCACCCACAAGGCCCTGTTTGGTCCTGGTTAAATCCACACTGCTCTGCTCCCCCAAATATAGAAGTCAAAATACTCCTATGCACCATAGCACCCCAACAATCGCTAAGTTTTAAAGATGCCTTGTAAATGCCATAAATCATAATGCAGACTTGTTCCCTTCTAAATACTACTACAGTGCAGGCAGAGCTGTATTGCGTAGATGTGGTTTCCTTTCAAACCACAAAAAACGTAAACACACAGTGTGTTTACATCACCCACTACTGTAGCTCCGTAAGCAGCTATTGGTCAACCTCATCGTGGGCAAGATCACAGTACACCGTGTGGGGCTTGAGTAGGCTGAGATTGTTTGTGGCGGAAGGTAAAAAAAAAGAGTTAAGACACACACACACACAAAACAAACACACCTTTCTAATATCCATTTAAGTACCAGATAGTGCCCCTGAACGTGATACAGAGATGGTCCCACAGGAGTCACCTCCTGCTAAGAAAAGCAGAACATGGGAGGAAGAAAAACGAACATTTCAAGACCAGCAGGGAATGCAGTTTCTTGGAATCAGACTGCTTCAGAAACACATTTCCGAGCAAGTTGCCGTGTGCTGTTTGTAAGAGAGATTCATCCAATCAAAATGTATGCAATGTAACATCACTATAGTACTCATGCAGGGGTACTTGAGCAGAATTACCACAATGAGTTTCAGAGGCGCAAGCTGTTACATGATGCAAAAACAGAGTTCAAAAGACAACAGCAGCAGCTCAAAATTTTTTGAATAAAAGCAAGGAAACCATTCAGCGATGGAGAACTCGGGAAGAAAATTGTTCTGGCCATAGAACCAGAAAGTAAGCTTTTCAGAGAGATACCACTGACTGAGCAACGACACATTACAGAGCAGCACAAGAGATGTGGCGAATTTTCTACAAAATGAAATAGCTGGAAAAGTCACACCAAGCCCTTTCTACAGTCTGTGCTTGGAGGAGAGCCTTAATGTCATGAGGAATCCCAAGGTAATCGTATGCGTTCGCTTTCTGGACCGTGATCGCTGTTTTTCTGAAGGTGTTTTATGTCAGGTGAGCCTCAGAGATAGGCCTACTGGCAAACACATTTTTGAATGTGTGCAGGCGAGAATGCAGGAGTGCTGTGTTAGCTTTGACAATCTCTGTGATTTGACAGCTGATGGGGCAGCAGCTATGCAAAGTGCACGAGTAGGGGTGCTGAACGGCTTCCAAGAAAGGTGCACTTAGACTTTCTTTGGAGCCGTTCAGCACCACTAATAATTAACTTTGCGCAAGGGCTGAACGAAAAGCTGGCATGGGGGGGGGGAGGAATCCATCAATGCTGTCAACACCAGCAGTGTCAATAAAGGGAAATTCGCAACTCTGTGTGAAATGGGCTGTGAAACACACAAGGTGCTGCTGAATTACAACCCAGTCCACTGGCTTAGTGACCGTGTACAGAGGCTGTTTGAGCTCTGAGAAGAGCTCATTGAGGTTTTGAATAAAGTTTCACCAGAACTGTCCAAAAAAAAAACTACAAGATCCAGAAGTACATGGTTACTTGCTCTTTTTGAAAGAGTTTTTAACCAAAGCTTGCTTCCTTGAACCGGGAGCTTCAGAAACCTCAGCTAACAATATTTGATAGCATTGAAATAATTAATACATTTAGAATGACAATCACTAACATCATCCAGCACCTACAAGAGGAATGGGACTTTTCAGGGTTTTTTTTTTTTTTTTTAAACACACAAACTTTGTTTGTTTTTCAGCTGTTAGGATGAAAATGTAAAGCAAAAAGTCATCTTAGGTATTTGGTTACAGCCGAGTATCCTGTTGGAGGATCTTGAAAATTGTTTCAGTGAGGGAAGCTTTTTCCATCAGTACACCTTTGTGACTGACCCATTCAACAATTCTGGTTCAGCTTTTTTGGCTGCAAACAAACTAACTGCCTTTCAAGACAGATTAGCTTCCTTTGACTCTTTGGACTTAAGGAATCTCAAGTCCCTTATGCTGAAAATGTGCAAGGATTCAAGAATGAAAACATACTTCAGTCAGCCTGGTGGTACAGTTCAGGAGTTCTGGAATAACATGTACCTGTTTGAGGACACCTACAAGCCCATAGCTAAAGTTGCTTTGCTTGTCCCTTTTTTTCTACTACTGTGCTGTGTGAGAAGGCATTCAGTGCACTTCCCTGAAAAAAAAGTACCGAAACTGCCTCGCTGATGCTAACCTCGAAGCTTTTATTTTAATTTCACAGGAGACCCGAGATCCTGCAGACTTTCCTTTCAAAGAGCTGCTGAGTTTTTGCAAGTAATCTGATCTACACAATGGTTGTGGTAAAACCCAGAACTTTTATCATCATGCTGTATTTCTAACATACAATAGAATAGGATTAGGTTTGTTAAGATCATTATTACTGGATTGGATTGATATTTGTCTTTCTGAAATAAAAAATTGGGACCTATTTGCAGATAGGTTTTATCATTATTATTTGGACTTCTATTATGTCAAAGCATTTTTAAATTTACTTCAGAATTGTTGTACAAACAACCACTTTTACCAAAAAAAGAAAAGAAATATAATAATCAAAAAAAGACAAGAACGTGCAAAGCACTCTGAGGCCACCAAAAAAAATTGTGAGAACCCCTGCTCTAGGGCATGGTCACTGGGAATCATGATGTGTCTGTACTTCAAACACTCCCCACATGTGAAACAGTTCAGTTCCCAGTGGGCCTGTGTCCACATCACTAAAAGCCATCCTGACATCTAGCACCAACAGGACAGACCCCTTCATTGGCAGCCTCAGCCCAGAGAAGCCAAGTCGGAAAAGTGACTGAGCTCTTCTCTCATCCCTGGAGTTAATCCCTCCAGGTCAGTGCTGAGGCAACGAAGATGTAGTTTGCATTGCTGCAATCCATACTGTGCATGTTGGGTAAATAGGAGTTTTCAGTCTCCAGAACTGCCAACCCAGCCCCTTTCACCAACACTAAATTCAATTTAAAATGATTAAATGAAGTCATTGCCCAAAGGGAACTTTCCCTCAAAGTAGTGCTCCCAAAACATCACGGAAATGTTTGCAAAACTTTGTTAGGGCAGAGCCAAACTGAGGAAAAATATGGAAACCGTGACTAGGACACCTAAGAATACTATCGGTGTGCATCTGACTCTCTGAGGAAATTGTTTGTGGGAAACAGGCAGGTGATTGCACCAATCTCTGGAAAAAGTTACCTCCCTGATTAAAGATTTGCACTTTGCTCTAAAGCATTTTACTGCTTTGCTCCACTCCCTGCCATTCTGAACTGCACATCAACATGAAAACACAACTGCCCATGGATTGGGGCTCAGGGTCCAGCCAGTTCAAATCCCAGCCCGAACCCAGACCAGACACATACAGAGTTTGAGAGCATCCTGACTTCTGGGGAGCTGTAGCGATTTACACCAGAGTTAGCAATTCATTAATGAGAAGAAAGCAGGTCTTGTGATTTAAGCACAGGACTGGGACTCAAGAGATCTGGGTTCTTTCCCCATTTCTGTTACAGACTTCCTGTGTGACCTTGGGCAAGTCATGTAAGCTCTGTGCCTCAGTTTCCTTCTCTGTCAAATAGAGAGATTACTTCCTTATTCCACAGAGGTTTCTGAAGCATAATTAATACTTGTAGAAGTGCTCAGATACTATGGTAATACACATATCATTAAAATAATAAACTTCACCTGAGTCGCCTCATGACATGTCCTGAAGGTTAGTTGACCCTAATCTTAGAGGCAAACCATAAATTTATCATACTGCTGCCTCAAAACGTTTTACCTACTCTTCTTGTAAGTAATGCCTAGGGTTCCTATAACTGGAGGAGAGGAGAGAAAACTAGTCTGTGTATTGTGTGTATTTGTGATGGCCTCTTTGGGGGTTTCTCCTGCACAGCCAGTTCCCTCTGTTGTTGGGGTGGGAGGTTACACACAGTACCCGGGGAAGGGGGTGGTTCTGAAAACAGACACACATTACAGTCACACACAATATTGAAACAGAAAGGGAACTTGGGGCAGGTGTCGGATCTGAATCTGCTCTTTAGTCATTTTTTTTAAAACGCACTAGATTACTTTCCAGTTGATGGTGCCCCTTTAACTCCCTTGGGTATTTCTAAACACCAGAAAAGGGGGTGGGGGTGCTAAGGGAAACTACAAGGAGTTTATCCCAAGGCAGAAAGGCATTGCCCAGGCTGTTACTGAACACCTTGGGACACCTGGCATTTTTCAGATCAGACCAGGAGCTGCCCAGCAGCACAAACCCTAGTCAGTGAAATCCAGGGCAAAGTAACAAATATTGAGCCAAACCCTGAGGGGATTTGGCACCTCTTCCTGGCTGCCCACAGGCACATGGGTTCTCACTGCTTCGCCTTGAAACCCACAGGCGGGTAGCACCTCCCCGTGGCACCTATGGGTGCCAGGCACCTTCAAAGGGACTGATCGGTGCTGAGTGCCCAGCACCTCCCCGCGGCACCTGGCGCCTTTCCGGATCCCCGCGGGCGCTCACCCACCTGGGCAGGCCTGCGGGTAGTCGTGGCAGCAGTCCATGGTGCGGGGACACGCCTGGTCGCAGTAGCAGACGCCGTGGGATCGGTCCGGTCTCCAGCCGCTGCTGACACAAGCCAGGTCTCTGCCCCGGCAGCAGCGCCCCAGCTCGGCGCAGCCGGCCTCCGAGCCGGGCGCCAGGAGCAGCAGCGCCGCCGCCGCCGCCAGCCAGCCAGGGCCCGGAGCCATCGCCGCGCCCGGCGTGGGGCGAGGGCAGCAAATGCAAACCCGGCCAGAGCCGCGCCCAACCCCGGAGCGGGCCGGGCAGGCACCGCGTGGGGAGCCCGGCAGCTGCCGCCGCAGGGGTGCGGCGCCCGGGGGGAGGCGGTGCCAGCGGCTGCTCAACTCATCGTCCCGCAACGTGCTGAGCTTTGGGGAAGGAGCGAATCCCACCGCCGCCGGGACTCCCTTAACCTGAGCCCAGCGTCCGCTCCCTGCGGCGATTGCGCTCAGCTCCCGCGATTTAAAGGAACAAGGCGCCTTCCCCCCCTGCCGACCTCTCCCCAGCCAGCTCTCACACACCGCCCAGGACCCTCCTACTCCCCCTCCCCACCCCGGTGCTCGGCGCTGGCGCCCTTGAAGACACGTGCCAGGGCCCCGGCTCACACTTGTGTGTTTCATCCACACAGACCAGCTCAAAGCTCGAGAGGGCGGGGCTGTGGGACTCATTTCATTCACCTGCCTCCGCCCCCGGCTCTCCTCCGGCAGGGCTGAGGCCAGCCATTGAAGAGCCCGACACACCCCTAATGAAGGTCCGGTAGCACCGGGTTTCCCTTAGGCCAGTGGTTCCCAAACTGGGGTTCGTGAAGCCCTGGGGGTTCACGAAATGTTACAGGGGGTTCTTGGGAAAAAATTCCCTAATGGTGGACAGAGCTGTCCTTAGGGACCCTGGGCAGCACGGGGCGGAGTCCCTGGACTTCCAAGAGCTAAGCAGATCAAAGCAAGCATATCTATCACACTGAGGAGATTTAAACTTCAAGACTCCTTATAAGAAATGGAAAGGGAGGTGGCTATTTTTGGCTGATTTTAAAATTAAATAGACAGCTAGTATTGTTTTTAAAATTATTATGAAGAACAAGTTTAAGCTTTGTTGTATCGTGCGTTGTTTGCCGGGACTGCTCAAGACCTGAATGCTTGTGGAAGGAGGAACTCTTTGATTTGGCTTCTTAAATACCTTTATGCTGTTTCACATCTGATACTCCTTGATGAAACATAGGAGCCTTGTCTTGTAACAGGCTTATTCAAAGTGATACAAGCGACGAAAGTGAGATCTTGGAAGAGTGTTGCCGTTTTCATAATGTAATAAAAATACTGTAATGATAACTAATAATAATAGTGTGTAATAAGCATGTCATAAAAACAAATGTTATGTTTCCAAGATCACTGTTTTTATAATTTATACTCAGGTAAAGGAGAAAATCCCTGGAAATATTCATTTTTAGGAGGGGGTTTGCGAGACTTGACATTTTAGTGAAAGGGGTTCACGGGTTGTTAAAGTTTGGGAACCACTGCCTTAGGCCAACATGCCTTAGAGCAGAGACTGCCTTTGTGTGGGCAACGTCTAGTGCAGTGGGGCCCAGGTACTGGTTGGGGGGACCCTACACCTATGGCAATACAACTGGATAATAAACCCTGACAGTATTCTAATCTATTGTAACACTGCAAGATCTTCGGCTAGCAATGGTGATGTTACATCATATTATTATTTGTTATCTGTATGGCATAGCACCTGGGAGCCCTAGTTATGGACCAGGGACCCCACTGTGCTAGGAGCTGGCCAAACACAGAACCAAACAGCAGTCCCTGCCCCAATCTTAGGTTTTCAGTACTTTAGACCATTGCTATAGACCACAACAGTATTTTTATTAGGCTAATTCTTTGCTATAACATACTTATATCTGCCCTTGATGTTAATACACTTTGTTTCTTGACTTTAACCTTGCAGTGGCTTTGAAATGAACATGATGTATGGCTCAGCTTCTGCAACTTTTGAAACATAAAGGGTATGACGTATGCATTAGCTGCCAGCTGTTAGCCAGCTCAAGCCCCCAGAAAAGGGACACAGAGAATACTACCAAAAAAAAAAACATTTAAAAGACACTATTTTTTTCAGATATAACTCCAGCAAATCCAGGACGCCACTATAACCTGAGGCTGCACCATTCTCACTAAAGCAGCTTGTAATAAACATGATCCAGCTGTCTACCCTGCCTTGCTGCAACAACTTTACTAAGAATTTTTTGCTAGCTTTCAAGTGCTGGAGGCTTAAAGACATTAGAGCAACCCCTGTGAATTATTTAGCTATTCATTGGGGATCTGATGGTTTTACTGTAGCTTTTTAGCAAAGGAACTGGCTTTAAATATTGATCACGACAGATGTTATTACTTGCAGTGTGCTGAATAGGGGTTTGCAAAACCCACCCACTGACTTGTTACAAGGGATTATACTAGAGTTCTAATGGTAGGCAGAGGAATAAAGTTGCCACTTAAGAGAGGCTGTACTGAAGACATTTCTAGATGTGGAAAATATTATTACAGAGCAGACTGTGAGGTTCTGAGCACTTGGCAGTTCAGGGGACCTAGACCCTCCCAGGAGCAGGCCTTCCGAAAGAATAAAAAATAAAAGACACGTTATCTTCCATGTATGGCCATGTGTGGCTGTGCCAAAGGAATTTGGGGAAGCCAAGGAGTTGGGAAAATAAGAGGCAGCATGGTCTAATGCTCACAGAAAGAGACCAGGAATTTAGGACTCTAGGATTCTAATTCCTCCCTTTGTCACTGACTCACTATGTGACCATGGGTAAGTCATTTAATCACTCCATACCTCTATTTATTCATCTATCAGGCTTAACTAATCAGTCAACATAAAGCCAGAGGTCCTCAGTGGCCTTGTGCATATTATGCAGAGTGGCATAAATGGAGAATAATTCTAAGGGATTTCCTCTGTCTCAGGCACTAATGCTGCTATCTCTTCCGTGCTCCTAGTCCCCATCACACTGGGGCACAGGGGACACATTCACATTGCACTGCTACTAAAGCTCTCCTCCTGTTCAACCATCGGTCTCAAGAACACGCTGTCCCGGCATTGTAGTTGTTCAGCCAACAAAAGCCATAAGTAAGACAGGCTCCACTGACTGTTTCAACAAGCAGCAGCAAAAGCAAAGCTCAGCCCGCTGGATTAGCAGAAGCTTGTTCCACAGACAACAGAGCAAAAATTTAGTTTTATACAGATATGGGGCCCAAACCAAAATCTCAAACTTTGAGGAAATTCAGATCAGGATCCAGACTTCGTGGTAGACTTCTCGCCCAATACAGCCTCGCCCTCAACTTTGGGATAGTTAACCTCCAGCTCCCAATCGGAACTTTGCTGGTTGACTCCAGCGCTAGCTTTTAAAGGATAAGAGTTAACTCTCCCTTATTCTGAACTAGTTGGAGACTAGCCTTGTGTGAACCCCTCATTTGAAATGGTTTTGCCACTTCAATGTCGACAGCCTCTGAAGTTGGAAAAGGGCCACATTGAGACAGGCCCTATTTTCCCCTGGCTAAACCTTGCTGAGACCCCATCAGCAAGGCAACAGGCTCCCTAATTTGCAGGCACTAGAAGTGGGCCTACTGGCCATATTTGAGAACACCATGTGACTTGGTCCAGGCAAACTTATTGTACAGCAATAGGTGTGCAGCAGCTCAGCGTGCCTGGGTCTCCGGAGCGGAAAAGCTCCTTGTCCAACTTTGATAAAATGTACACAGCTCACTGCAGGGCCATGCGTGACAGTGAGATGGGACCCAAAGCTGATCTTGAGTGTGGCTGAGGGTCAAGTCAAACCATGTGACCTCTAGTGCTAGCTCCTACCACCTGTGACACTGAGAACCTGACCCACAGCTTGGCTTCTCCCTTTCGCTTGTCTTCTCCTCTGATGCCGACAAGATAAAGTTACAGATGTTTTTCCGCAGGAAAATGGAATAGCAGCCCTGATCCAACTCCCATTTAGGTCCATGGAGATAGTCCAATTGGTTTTAGTGTTGATTGCACTCTGAAAGGGCTGGAGCCAATGAACAACAGCAGAGAACAGAAAATGAGAGAGAGCGTGTGTGTGAGGGTTGGGGGAGGAGGGGAATGAGGGTGTGTGAGAGACAGAAGGGGGTCAGAGGGAGGGGCATGTGGAAGTTGATGTGATCCATTCTCCCTCCATAAAAGAAACAATTCCACTATTTGGAGTCAGCTGTTCCTGTGCCTAATGCTTCACTTTATTTAGGGTTACCACATTTTGAGTGTCCAAAAAGAGGACACTCCACGGACACTCCCAGCCCCGCCCACGCCCCGCCCCAACTCCACCCCTTCCCCAAAGT